CAGTGTGAACAGGCCATGGTCCTGGAGTGACCCGCATGACAAATGTCAATCTAGAGTGACATAAAAGTCACATGAATTCTGATATGACTGCTCATATGAGTGAGGTTGCACTACAAAGAATCAGGCCTGGAATGTATGAAAGTGTACCAAATCTGAACTGAAAAGATCAGATTCAATTTGATCTGTGCCGTACACACTGTGTCATATAAGTCACAAATGACTAAAACAAAACAAAATGTGTTAACGTTGCCAGTGGCAGATTAAAGCTGCAGTAGGTAACTTTAGAATATATATTTTTTGTCATGTTCACTGAAACTTTCACCATATCCTGACAGTAGTATATGAGACAGATAATCTGTGAAAAAATCAGGTTCCTCTGGCTCCTCCGAATGCTCCTAATGGGATTTACAAGAATCCACTGGGCTGAAAGAAAACAACCAATCAGAGCTGAGTTTCAGCAAATATGAAAAATAAGTTATTTTTTAATAAAAGTTACCTACTGCAGCTTTAAGATTAGAATTATGGGAATATTTCGAAATATCTTCTAAGGTTGGTTCCTGCTTGGTGATGTGAAAAGAATGAATCAGAGGATGTGATTGGGTTGCTGGCTGACAACAAAAGTAAGTTTGTAACTAGCTGTCTTTTTGGGTGGTAACTGTAATATTATTACTGAAATTGATAAGTAATTAGTTACACTACGCTGGAGACAGTCATATTATTACTGTAATATTATAAATAGTAATGTGTTACTGCCCAACATTCTGATTTATTGTGCTCTAATATTACCTTTGAAATGTTTTTAATTTGCATTGCTCATCATGTGTTGTTATTTTGGTGAGTCACAGCTACTCTCATGCCTTTTGGTCCTAAAACTTTTAAATAGGTACTCATTTAGGTTCCAAAGGGTTTAAGAGTAAAAACTTTTGTGCATTTTTTAATCATTTATAAGGGGCTATAGGTTACAACCTGAGTATGACTTTAATGAGCACCCTCTCTTCTTAACTGACTTTGTAGGCTCTATTGTTTAATGTAGAATTGATTCTCCTGTGTTTTGAGCCTGTTATCTGAAGTATGTTCCTTAATTTTTATTTTTTTGAAAAACAGACTTTGTGTTATTACATATTTCCAGCTGCCACGGTAACTATAGTCACTAAGTTCCCTAGTCACAGGTTTTATTGTCTTCTCTCCACCAACAGTTTCAGTGGAGGGTTAGTAAAGGGAATCCTAAATGTGTTAAATGGTTAAAGAGATAGTTCAGAGATACAGTAATATTGAGGAATTTTATTGTTTTCCCCACTTTCCCAGAGCCAGAACCTAATAAATTCCTTAGGAAGACCTTTTTTTATTTTTAAAATATATTTGGGTTAGTCTGAAGTTATGTCAAACAACAATAATATAATAATATACGTACCCCCAATATATATAACTAGAGGCTGTGTAGGCTCAATTGTTGAGTGTCTATGGGATCAAATAACATAATCATGATCCCATAGGCAGGCAATTACTAGTAATAGGTAAGTTAGTAAACTAACTTTACAAGCTGTGTCTGAGCAGAGGCCCACAGTCTCAGACTTTGAAAACTCCAGGTATGGCTCACTGAATTGCCTAGGTGTGAAATGACTGACAATTACTGCAGCAAACTATTTAGAAACTGACTTACAAAAGGGATCATTATGATTTACAAATGACTACCACTAATACACTTTTGCATGTGTTTTGTGTGCAAATGCATATATATTCAGTATACATGCAACATGGACTGAGGCAGCTAAACTTTGATGCTGAGTTTATGGCCAGTATTCAAATTCCGTTTCACCTTCGGGGCTGTTTTACATAATGAAATTTGTATATTTTCTTCTTGTTATAATCTTGTTTCCAGTGAGCTCCATGTTTAAATGTATGATTCTTAAAATAAGCTGTTTGAATAAATTCAGTCAATATGGTATCCTGTATTTATTTGTTATTTCTATTTTGTTCATGTCACTCTGCATCCACAATGTAAAACTCACTATACAACCCAGTTTAAAAAAACACAGCAAAATGTCATACACTTTAATAAGTACAGGTAGTATTTACAGTATATACACCATAACACAATACTAACTTTGTAATCACTACTGTATACTTTTCATAGATTAGGAAGTATTTACATTGTGAATAAGACCATAGGTAATTTTTTTTGTAATTCTGATACGCAATAAATTCAAGTAGGCGTGCCTTGATACATACTACTCTGACTATGATCATGGTATAAGGGATATGCAAGAACCACTTCACATCGACTGCATCATGGTCCAACACTTTGAAGAATACTCTTTAATACACTCATCAGTTGGGGGCCACGGGTTGGGGGTACAATGCCAGTCAATATCAAACACAAACTATACAAGTTCATACATGTCTCAGTCCTGAAGACACGCAGTATCTGTGGGGATTTTAAAGATTAGAACCATTGGTTTCTGCTCCCAAAGCTTTACACATTCATGTTTGGTCATCAGCCTTCAGTGGAAGCCAACACTAGACCAAGGATCATTTGCTGTAGCGTGTCCTGGTGGTCTAAAGTGCATCCTGCAACCTCCTGGGTTGGTATCACTTCAGGAACTTCACCTTCTCTCTCTCCTGTATCTCCTACCGCTCTCCACTGCCAACTATCTAATAAAGTAAAGATGATATGAAAGATAATCTCAAAGAAAAAAAAAGCATTCACTGTGTCTGAACTTTCACATTTTTCAGAAAGAGTACATCTTGTCCAACCGCTTAAAAATACATCTGATAACAGACACTGGGCATCCCGAACACTGAGCACGAATGATCCTGAACTGGAGCATCTGTTTTCTTAGCTTAGTCAGTTTTATTACACTACTCGCTTATGACCAGGGTGGTGAGGCTGGGCTTGCACCTAACTTTCAGGTGCCGCAGCCATAAAAGGATAGAAAAAGGAGAAGCTGCACTCCACCATGACCCAGGCCTTTTTTTCCCTCTTCATTATGATTGCTGGTGGTTTATACATTATGGTGTGTGTCCTCTGCCGTGTCTGTGTTTTCCCCTAGCAGACCGAGGCAGCGCTTTCCCTCCGCCCCTGCTTCTTCAGCAGCTGGATGCGGTTGTGGACGTAAAACTTGATGGCCCTCCAGTCTCGCTGGTTGCTCACCAGCAGAGGGCAGAGTTCGAGGCAGCGTTCACAGTCTGCCTTCGCAGGGACTCGCAGCTCCATGAGGTTTCTCTTTAGGTGAGTCTCCACTGCTACACGCTCCGCCTCTGACCAGGGACGCTTCAGCACACCGCGCTTCCCTGTGAGAACGAGGGTGAGGTGTAACGAAGTGTAAATGAATGGAGATAGAATGCATAGGATCTAATTTATATGGATGTGACGGAGGCTTGACTGGCAGATTACCTGATTTGGGCGGAATACATCTCCTCTTATGAACATTGGCCATTGATGGGCTGACTGGAGAGGGAACGGGTGCTCTCCTCTTCCGTGGCGGTCGCCCTGGTCCTTTCTTCTTCACCATCACCTCAGCTTTCTCCTTAACTTCCTCCTTTTCTTCCTCTGGTTCTGAATCTTCTGAAAAGGAGTCGGCTGAGTTGCCAGACATTACTGTAGGACACATAAAACTGAGGGTAGTTAACCCAAATCAAATGAGTAACACACAGCATAACATTTCACATGTAACAACAGTAACAAGACAACTTAAGTACTGTTGCTTATTAAACATGTTGCTGAATGAATTGGTGCATACAAGTACAATGTGGCTGTAAAAGGTTGCTTTTTAACCTCCAAAACCAACTCTGGCACATTCATTATAACAAACTTGTGGGAAATTATCTAAAACATTAATCATTAAATGGTGTCTTAGATTTGTAATAATCCAGCCATAAGTCGAAGGTATCATAAAAGAAGTGCAGGATACAAAATATACGTTATCCGGTCCTACAGTCACACACAAAAAATATGTGTGATATGACAACAAGCAGCTGGTTAGTTTAGCTTAGCATAAATACTGAAAACAGATTCCATGGCTCCTCTCACCAGAACCTCTAAAACTCATTCATTAACACAGCATATCTTTATTCAATCAGTACAAAACCCAAAGAGTAAAAAGGACACATTGTGGTTTTATGGTGGGTTATGTGCCAGACTATTTCTAAGCCTGGCACAGTGACTTCCTGCAGTCTTTGGTGGTTACCTGGCAACCTCATGATGACAACCAGACTCTAGGAAACCCCTGCAGAAATGTTCTGGCACTGAACCCCACATAAAGCACTCAAAGAATCAGTTCTCCAAAATGAACCCACAAATTACAAAAAATACATTTTCACATACACACAGTCATGTTCCTACATACCTCCAGTGGCATCCAGCAAGGCAGATAATTCTGGTTTATTTTTAACAGGTTTGCAGAAACAATCGATAACAATGTCTCTTTAAAGAAAAAAAAATCCTTGGTAAATGGGGATAATCCACAAACATTGCTGCGAACATTTGACTATTTCCTATCTTAAATAAAGCTGTTTTCAATTAGACTTGTATATTATTGAATCAAATTCTATTTGACATTTTGTTGGCTTTTTGTATTTTCCTCCTTTAAAGGCTGACATTCCTCCTACAGTCCAATACATACTAATAGTTACACCTTTAAAATAATGTTTTCTTTCCCCATTAAAATGAAAACAATGGAGTATGTTGGCGTTTTGCATTATTCAAAACAGATGCTGGGAGTTGAACCTTGATGCTTTGAACCAGAACCTGCACTGGACTGAACAATGCATGCCTGAAATACCTGCTGATAGGCCCAAATGGCTTCTTCCTTTTCTCCTGAAAAAAAAAAAAATGCATGATGTAACTTCTTACCATCCAACTCGAGGCAGATGTGCTGCAAGCTCATCCCTCGGAAAAGCACGCCCTCTTTCTCTCCATAAAGAACAACACGACCCACACGACCCATCAGTGCTGGATCCCGTAGGATTGAGGAACAGTTTTGGGTCACATGGTACTCTCGTTCCAGGAAGTCCTCCAGCCGTTTGGTAGCACTACCCTGGCCCTCACCCTCCTCTAATAGTAGCAGTTGAGTAAGTATTGCTACCTGCCGCCGCACACGTGTCGCTGTCAGTGCTCCGGGGTTCTTGGCCCCACTTGCTCGCGCCAGGTTTCTCAGAAGGTCCGTGCCCCGCAGCGGGGTAGCAGGAGAGTGGTAGGGCCGGGAGAAGACATAGGGACTCTCTGGGTCTACACCCACATTGGGGCTGGTTTGAAGGAGTAGGTCCAGGCAGGACTCACAGTGTGGCGGAAAAATAAGCGGCTGGATGCGACCGCGCTTGCCCAAAACACCAGCCCGCGGGAGGTGAGAGAGGACCTGGCGCTCAAAGGGAGACAGGAGGGCTTCCATGCCGGAGGGGGGGCTGCTGCTAGAGCTGGCCTGTGGAGTGATACGGTTGCGGTAGTCCTGGAGAGTGAGCTTGGCCACCTCACATTCCCGGTGGCGGTTGTAGAGGATGAGCAGGGAGAGGCTGGAATGGCAGAGCAGGCGCCAGGCTTCGGCGGAGTGAGGAGAGCGGGTCAAAGAAAGGAAAGAGGAGTGCTGCTGACAGCGGAGGTAGACGACCAAACAGGACAGGGACGAGAGCAGTGGAGACATGTGATGCCTGTGTGTGTTGGAAACATTAAAGAGAGAGGAAAAATGCCTTTAAAGTAGCAGTTTAAATCACAACGCACCAACAAAAACTCAAAACATCAAAAATAAATGTCTAATTGGTAATCAGACAATGGTAAAAAAAAGAAATAATCCAACCATACCTTACAATCTCTCCATTCTTTTCCTCTGGTGCATCATCTTCTCCTTCTGCACTTATCTCCAGATCTTCATCTGGATCAACGTCTGGCTCTGGAGTAGGAGGTGGAACCAGCTCTTCTTGACTTCTCGAGCTCTCCACCTCCACTTTTTGCTGCTCTTCATGCTTTTCTTTCTTCATCCTCCGGCCCCTTCTGGGCGTAGACGGGGGAGGCGGTGACGGACTCTTTACCCGTGACACCATCGGGGGCGCAGGGCGTTTTGTGGTGGGCAGCGGTAAGCTGGGCCCTTTCTTGGCGGCCGCGGGCTGAGCCGAAGAAGGCGGCGAAAGCGAGAGGGAGAACGACACGCCGCCTGTGCTCGAGCGTGTAGCCGGCGATTCCCTTTCCCTAGCGAAGAGAGAGGGTGGAGCAGGGTTGGAGGCCGAGGACTGAGGGACAGCAAAGGAATGGGTTGTCGCGGAGGTGGAGGACGATGAGGGGTGAGGGTGTGCGGCGCTGCCATTTGAAGAGCTGTGCATGTGTGCCAGCTCCATGGCTGTTCTGACCTCTGGCTGGTTGGCGTGGTGCTTTTCCAGGTGGCGTGCCAGAGAGCGATAGTGGCGTCCGCAGTACGGGCAGTGCTGCCGCCGGCTCACTGTGGCACTGCTGGAGCTGGCAATGTTTATATTAATGTTGTTGTTGATGTTTGTGGTTGGGGGTGCCAGGGTGCCAACCGGGGTCTGGGACTGGGATCTGGCTGGGGGTGTGACAGGTGCTGGGCGGGAAAAGGATGAGCAGGGGCGCCCGGGTCCTCTGGAGGATGGGGGCGTGGTTTTCTTCTTGGAATTAACCACGGCGGGCAGCTTGCGCTTCTTGCGGCGGCGGAGCATTCGACCCCTTATCTCCTCAATTTCCTCTTCTTCGTCTTCGTCGTCGTCGTCGTCGTCTTCCTCCTCTTCATCCTCCTCACGGTCTGAGTCACTGGGCTCAGAGTGGGTGAGAGGGGAGGATGAGGGGGATAATGACCAGGAGGGGGTAAGGTAATCAGAAACAGAGAGGGACAGTGGGTGGGGGCCGGCCTCTTCCTCCTGGTTAGACAGATTTCAAATGAAAACAAACCACGTTAGCTCAATTTAAAGCTATATCAACAGGATCTACATTCTTATCACATTTAAAATGTAAGTGGGCGTTTCCAGTTTGTCTGGTACTGTCAACAAATCTGAATGAAAAAACAACAACAATGTCTTTTGCCATCACTTCTGACTCTGCTGTGACTCACAGCACAAAACCCATTTACGAATCTTTAAGAACAAATCACAAATACATGGCTTAGGGGTTTAGATGCCGACCATAGATTGCAATGTCCATGGTTAAAGCCTGGCCAGGGACATTTGCTGCATTTCTCTCTGTCGTCTCCAAACTGTTATTATCCAATAAAAGGCATAAAATGTCCCACAAATACCAAAAAAACAATAATAATTCCAGGCCTCAAGCAGTGGATGGACATTGTTAAATCTTTGTAGTGGAAAGGATGACTTTGAGCCTGAGCTCTAGAGGAACAAACTTGTTCAGTAAATAGAAGAAACTCTATTCGTGTAAATCTATCTATCCACAGTGGAAGAGGATGCTACCCTCCTGTAATTTCCTTTCGACGATAATGGACAATTGACATAAAACGTAAGTAAAGTAAAAAAACAAAACAATAAACAAAGATTCAGCTGTAATTTTGGTTATACACAGGATAGTTTATGTGGAATTAACTCAACATAAACTACACTACCCATGATCATTTTTTGGAACATCATCCTTTAAGCATTCCCTGTCCACTTTATCCAAGTTACGGTCAAGTTAGTAGCTCACCATTGCATTCTCGCCCCAGTCCGTGAGGCTGTAGTCCACTGTGATCTCCTCCCCTTTGGCGATGTCTCGGATTGCTATGACAACCAACCGCACCTGGGTCCCGCAGTGGACTTCTCGAATCCGGCAGTTCGGCGGCGGATGGAAGAGCACAGGTCCCCGGACACCGCTCGCTCCCTCCTCCCCCAACTCTGGCACACTGGAAAACAGAAAGCAACATTAGTAATATGGATCAAAAAAAAAAAAAAAAAAGCATCACAGCACAGTAACCATGGCGAGGGTCCTCCTTACCAGAGCTGAGTGGGATCGGGCAGGTAGTATGGACTGCCGGGTGGAGGGAGGCGGTCTTCTGCACCCTCTGGATACTGGCTATCACCTGGGACAGAGTGGACTGTTGAAATCTAGCACATCTTAACTGCTTTACCACCAACCACAGGCCTTATGTTTGAAAGATGGAAGGTGTCTCTCCTTACTACAATACACTGCTAATTACAACATGGTACACTGTTTTCCATAAGCACCAGAGATGATAAAAACACAGACAGCAGGTGGCAAAATGTGTGTGTGTGTGTGTGTGTGTGTGTGTGTGTGTGTGTGTGTCTGTCTATATATACCAGGGCTGTAGCTGTGTTCTGACATGCTCTCCTCCTCCTCATCTTCTGTTACATACGCTCGGTCACACACCTTCACAGGTGTCCCCTTCCTTTTTCTCCCACACACGCGGCTGTAAAAACAAAACCAAAGCTCCATTTAGCATAATGATACATCCAGACAAAGCACTGCTCGAGACTGTCCTCCGGTAAATAATCGAGCGGAGGGCAGCCGGAATGAGCAGAGCAGGCGATACATGTGGCAGAGCGGTACACGAGTCGGTTAACGCAACACTTCTTTTAGGTGGGCGACTCGTCCACAACAACAACACTAGGTTTTTGAACTGCTTAAGTAGTGACGGTGGCAGCTGTGGTGGCGGCGGTGTATTTGTTCTTCCACTTAAGATTTGCTTTGATTTTTAAAAGCACTCAAAACAAGGACATTTGGATTTCTGTACAACCTACATATAGTGCTAGTTTAATGTAAAGCAGGAGAACGGAAGGCTCTGGGAAATTACATAAAAGATGCCAAGGGAGCCACGCAATAATGATATTTAAGCTTTTCATTTTGAGTGTTCTTTTCATTACTTATCTATTACATTTTACACTTAATCTACCCATTGTTTAGTCTACAAATGTCAGAAAATAGTGTGGAAAAATACCCAGCCAAAGGACACATTTTTGAATGGCGGGTAACCAAATCAACAATCTAGAAACACAAAGAAATGACATCTACAAAGCTGAAAAATCTTCTGTATTTTATTGATTCGTTATTTCTACTCTAAAGTGTTGTGTGTTTTTCATTAAGAGGGAGACTGCACACAGGTGTCAGTTCATCACAGCCCACTCAAAATGCATTTTATTGACCTGATAATGATGGCAGCCTGACCACCGGCCTTGGCTTTTTCCTGCCATAACTTAAATATGTTCAAGTGCCACAGGTTCCGCAGCCCTTTCCACAGGTTGACCTGGTACCTGCTGTAAACAAATGTGATGTGACAGCGACCACGGTTAAGGAACAGTGATCTACTTGTAAACAGGAAGCCAGTGTAGAAGCAATGATTTCAGCTTTCTGGGGTCATCACTAAAAATTCTTCATCCAAATATTGGAAATGGCCCCACCCCTTTATCCAATCACGTCAGACTGTACGTTATAAATGCATTTCCAGAGGACTGACAAGCACAACAAAGCGTCCCCCAGTTCACTGAGCGTGGTGACAACTGTTTATCGCATGCATTTTGTTCATGGTCAGCAACTTTGTTTACTCAAAGCCAAACAAGCCACGAGTCATGATCTGCAGCAGCTGAGCGGAGTGAGCCAGTGTTCAGAGCACAATAACACTCGCACAGATGATTTGTTGAATGTTACGCTCCGGGATCTGCCGTCTAACAAACGTGTCATGACAGGGGATTATCGACAAGAGCAGCAGATCACCGGCCAGCTCGTTACATAGCTGCTGATTCCTGCTGGGCTGCGATGCTAACATCAATGCTAAACCACGGCTAGCCTCGTTAGCTCCCAGCAGCTAACGTTGAGACTTGATGTCCCGTCAAAACATTAAAAAAATCAAAGGCTGGCTGATTAAATGCGAGCCGAGGCGGGCAGGGGAGCAGGCAGCCTCAGAGGGCACAGCAGCTGCAGGCAGAAACCGACAGAAACCGACAGAAACACTTTCCCCGCTCGGTTTTTTTTCTGCAATATAACACTGAAATCCTGCACGCGAATAAAGCCTCCGCGACGTCAACTCAACATACGTGCACGCTCGCGGCGCGTGCGTCTCGGGCTCTTTTTGCGTTTTGCTCACCAAACCCCCGGTGAAAAACCCGACGAACCGGAGCTCACTCACCCCCTCGGCGGCGGCGGTTTGCTCCCATCCCCGTCGCTGTCGAGGGTCGGTGGTTCCCGGTAGTCAAAAGGCGACCGTACAGTCTCCGCCATTAGGACTCCCTTCCCTACCTCTCGGGCTCCGGTAGATTGCACACCGCGCATGTGCACAACATCCTTTGGGGCTCTCTGGTAAAATGGGGTGCACTCACCTCTGAGGGGAGGACAGACCCACAACCTCAAGACTGAGGGCGCACTGATTGGAAATGCAGTATTGTTGCTGTACAGTAAAGGGTGGAAGTGCGGTTGAATCGTTGACTTAAAGTAACGTTTGGCCTGTTGGCCTGCGGTTAACCTCGGTGTTCTTCTTTTAAACACATTGTTTTACCGGCTTGATTTGAAATACCCTTTCCTGGTTTTAGGAGAATTGATGAAGAACTGATGACTGAAGTCCCCCGCAGAACATTTAATTCCTTCAAATAAAAGTCCTGTATTCTAAATCCTGCTTAAGTTATAGAAAAATTCTCTTTCCAATATGGTGGAGCTAGTTTTAGCTATTTTATATACAGCTAGGTAGTTTATTGCAATGCTTTCCGACCTTTAACGATCACACTTCCTTATTGAGTCACAGGATACATCTGAGGGGTTGTGAGAGGAATTATTAAGGTTGGAAAGGAGAGAACCTGTATGACTTTGTATGACTGATTGGATAAGTTAACAGGGGAAATCACTCTGGTGGAACTCCTAATATCTAAACTGTGACAAGGGCCCCAATTAAACACTGCTTTTCTGTAAAGGGTCACAAGCCACAAAGTTGGAAACCGCTAGTTTAATCTTTAACAATGTGCTGTATTCTTTAATCTTATCTGTTTAGCATGCAGAGGGTTCTGTCTTTCTGAAAGTAATGTTAATTAAAGGTCAAATAAATGTAGTGGAGTATTAAGTACAATGTTTCCCCCTGACATAGAGTAGAAATATAGCATAAAGTAAAGCAGGCCTATTAAGTTTTAAGTATTTCAGTACAGTTAGTAGTTACTTTTCACCACTGTGTAACACATGGTTAAATACAATGGATACTCATATGCTATATATGCTTATATATTTGTGATAATTGAGGCACAACCCCTCCCAAATCCCACATATATGTGCTCATAAGAGAAGTCTAATAAGGAGTTAGTTACCCCTAAGCAGAATCAGTATATGAGACAATATACATGTTGTTGTCAAAGAAGGACATTATGGCAAACAAAAGCAGCCTTTGTAATTTATTAAACATGAAATATTTCCTTATTTGGTGTGAACAATGTTTTATGGTCCTTTCTGTATTTCATCACCTTCATCAAATGTGCAGTTTGTGACAAAGTAAAGGGTTACCCCTTCCTTATTTGACTACATATAGGGTTTCAATAAGTCAGAAGGAAAGAAAATTGACAAAGTTTTATTTGTGTATGTAATTATTTAGAATTTTCTAAGTGTTATAGGAGGTTTCCTGGAACTAAACTATTTAATTTATTTCTAATTATAGGGAAAAATCCTGCTAAATTGAAACTTATGGAAATAGGTTGTGTAATATGTATTCCTCATTTATTACAGGAAACTATTCTTCATATGTTTGTATATGCTTGTAAACAAATGTAACATGTTACGCTTACCTGCTGTGTATCGACTAAAATACTCTAGGCGATGCAAATCTTTAAATGGAATTACATCATTATAAGTGGACCAATTCAACCCTGTCTCTATAATATGTAACAAATGATATTGCTCTATCCAGGAAACATATACGAAATTATTAAGTAATTAGGGACATCTAAAATAAAGTGATACCAAATAATTAAAGACAAAACATTTTTTTTTTAACTTTTACACACACACACACACACACACACACAGCAGTGGGGTGTATAAAATATTGAGAAAGTAAAACTAATGCCAGTAAACAAAGCACTTGGGTTAACACTGGGTTTTAATCTGCAATGCATATCCAGTTTTAATCACAGAGACAAAATGAAAGCATGTCATTAAGAAATTCACCATACCAGCAAGTCTGGAAGTCACAGCTCATTCACTCAGTGAGTCTATGCTGCGCCCGTTATTGAACACAACAGTGAAATCATTGTGATGCAGAGTGTTTGATACTTTTAGCTACAGGCAATACAATCCTACTGTAAAACTATCAGTCTAATACAGCGGCTTTCAAACAGTTTTGCAGGACGTGGCAAAAAATATTTAAGAACCGCATCTTCTAGTTCAAACTTGTGAACAGTGTAGCAGCACATTCAAGTATAACATCAGGAGAGAACTTGGTGACCAGAGCAGCAAACATGACACTTGATCATCACTGATTGTGCCAAACCATGAACAATACAAGCATTCAGTCTATACATGGAATTATTTAGATTATTATGTTAATAAGGTGGTACATTAAAAGCTAAGTGACCTATTTAAAAATAGCAAATGTCTACAGATTCAGCTGCACATCAGTCACAGTTTATCAGTCATGTGTTTTTGGCTACATTCTAGCAGTTAGTAGATTTTGGAGTGTTATGAACAGCAGATAATTCAAAGGTAAATCAACTTAAATAAAATAATTTATACACTGTATACAAAAACAAAAGACATTCTCAAACAGTCTAACTCTGCCACTTCAAATCAACCTTTATGCAGCTAAAAGTCTGCACTCACTTCTTTGTTAGAGGAAAAAGCAACTGTGGCAAACTAGAGGTCATTTTAGCACTTGCTGTGGAAATACCAACGTCTGGGAAAAGCTGTCTACTGGGCTTTATTAAAGGAGCTTAGCTGTGTTTTTAGTTAAGCAGTAAATTTTTAACCTCTAATGTTCACAGGATATATTCCACACCACTTAATATCTAATTTGGAATACATAAAAGAGAAAGCTGGCTGTTAGTGTCGAGTGAGTTCATTCATAGATGTTGTTGGATTGAAACAAAGAACATCAGATCTCTTCTGTTCCTTCCCTCTCTTTGTGTAAGACATGGAGAGTCTGAGCAGCGTGGTCAGCCCAGTGGATTAGCTCCTGTAGCACTCGATAGGTCCACATTTTGAGCCCGAAAACTCCACCAGCACCATCGGTTTCCTACACAGAAGAGAGCGAGTTCACATCCACTGATGGAAGACTATAGGCCCAAAAAAATAATACAGTACAAAAGAATAAGACAAGGTTTTTAGTGGATGGGGGAGGCTAAAGTAAAACATTGTTTATGTTGTGGTCACACGTAAACTTTCCCAGTAACTGTCCAGTTTTATTGCACTACGTTAAAGGACTGAGAGATGGAGGACTGGCACTCCGCAATCGGAGGAAACCTTGGATGTTTAAAGCAAGAAGAGGAAGTGAAAGTTACGCCGGAAAACAAGTTCAGGGACTATTTGGCCATTTGCAGATGAATAATCTCGCATATGGTTCCTAAATTAAAGTTTCACAAAAGTAAATAAAGTTAAACCTGTGGTGTTTTTTTTAACCACTTGGGGGCAGCAGAAACAAGCTGTTAAGTTGACTCACAAGCAAGTGTGAACCTATCGTGACGTCACCCACTGGTTTTTGGAGTACTGTTTTGAAGTCTCTAGTTTGGCATCACGGTCGTTGCCATGAGAGATGACGTACTGCGAGTTGAGTTGCGCTCATTGGCTGCGCAGTTTAGACTCATCCAGACAGACACGAGGAAGTTGTGTGCTTATAACAGTATTGTACCATTTAACATTGCCCGGGACGTCCATCTTCAATGTTTAAAAAGGTGTTACAAAGTGGTTGGCCACATCTCGATGGAGGAGAATGGGGGGGCTTTGATCCACGTAAGGGGTGTCCTTGAAGTAAGGGGCATGCGTTTGTTAGCCGACGTTCTTGCCGCTGTTCATGTAACCAGGTCGGAAAACCAAAACAATGAGCCGAAAGACGCTAAAATTTAAAAATTTAATTTCAGATTTTATGCAGATGAGCTAATTCTTGCCATGGTATTGTAATAAATGCATGTAACTGACAAATGTAGGAGACAAATCTGAATTTCATGGAGACATAAGGGGTTCTTTGGCCTGAAGGCATTATAGGGGCATTTTGTCATTTATTGCCCCTTTTTACCGGGAACTGTGCAATACTTTGTTTAGTAAGACTAAAAGTGGATATTTTCTGTTCACATAGGAAATGTTAAAATTAGCCAGTTATTTGGGGAATGCCTAGGGGATAAAGAAAAATGTGCTTTATCAGGATAAACTTTAGGTTTGCAGACGTTTCTGTCTTTCTTCTGCTAGTCAGTGTAGACCTCATTTAAACTTTTTGCCAAAAAATATGTCAGTTGAAAGTATATACAAGTACATTATGGTTTTATATATGTCAGACAACGTTCATGTTACTTTTATATTTTTTATATTTGTTGGATAAATAGCAATGTCTTGTGATTCCATGAGAGGATGGACCATACAAAAAGTATAACCCACTATGACAAGAACTGTACCTCAGTATTATGCTGGTGGTCTGGGGTGACTTCCAGGGTCTTGTCCTCAGTCTCCACCAGATCTTTGGTGCTGTGGAGCAGGTGCTCCAGCCGGAGATGGACGTTCTTCCTCATGGCCTCGTAGTCGCCCTCCAGCTCACCCCATTCCTCCTCTTCCTTCTCGATGACACAGTGGATCAGCCCCAGACACTGCCGCAGAGCCGAATGCAGCAACAGCACCTGCTCCTCCGCGCTAGGCTCCTCGGAGTCAAGGGACAGGGACACGATGCGCCCGCCGTCTGGGGTGTGGTCAGACAAGAAGGTCTCCTTCTCTTTCTGAAAGGGCGAGGAAAAAGAGATTGTTTTTCACTTCATGCTGAGCACAAAGCAGACAGATATAAGGTGCTACTGGCCTTGCACTTGTGCCTTTAATTTTATTTTAGATCAGTTACAATTTTAAGACTGAGTTACAGTTATATTGATCAATTAAAATGTCTTTTAAAAGCAAGATGAAGCACAGAAGCATGACAGCAGGAACAAAAATCCAATACACTTTATCCATTAGGCACCCCAGGGAAAATGGAGGGGAGGTGGTGGTGGTGGTGGTGGGGGGGTCTTTTAATATGATTACACTCCACAGCATTGCTTTCAAGTGCACACTGGTGAATATTAATGTACATACAGTAAAAAAATAAATAAATAAATAAAAAAAATAAAAAATATCATTTAAACGCGACAGGTAGCTAGCTGCCTCAGTACCAAAACATGTTCGCATTAAAGCAAGCCACAAGTAACGGGAAGGGGAGTGTGTCACACCGCATAACGAGCGTGTAAAACCGATAACTCACGTATAGCTGGAGCAGATGAGTACATTCGTGGTGCAGTAGCCGGGCAAGAGCCACCGCTCTCCCCGTCTGCGAGGGGCCAGGCACCGGCGTGTCCAGCGCGGTTATCTGCTGCTGCTCCTCCTGCTCTGCCATTTGCACTCCAGCCCTGTTTATATAGGTGGGTTAGCAGCGAGCTGGGGTGAACACCGAGCAGAGAAAACAAGCCCACCTACCCACCCCCAACCCCTGAAACCCTTTTACACGCGGAATATTCTTTTTTTTTGTGGATACTTCAGCGGGTTGAACGCGAGCCGGAGCGTCAATGGAGCGTGTTTGTGTCGGCGTTCATGTTGGCATGCACGCAGCCAGAGGGGATTTAATTGGTTCCGCAAGCCACAGGGGCGTTTTTAGGGGGACGCACAGGAGGGCCTTTTTTTTTTTCTCCCCTCACAAAAAAATAAAAATAAAACGTCACCATGTGGCCCACCCATCCGTCCATAAATAATAAAAAGTGTCTTTATTGGGAGGATTTTCTCAGAAACTGTACGCTAATGTGCACAACCACACGGTGTTTGTATGTATTTTCTGACCCAAATTGTACAAATCCTGCAAAGCATTTTCTTCACATGAAGCCTGTAGAAGACAGGCTAATATATTTAATATATTATAACAACTGATTCCATTTCTACAAGGCATTGCTTGTTTTTTTTAAATCAACATGTAACATGTACAGCAAAAACTGGCAAAATACCACAATTGTTAAAATGAAATGCCTCTCTTTTAATTAGATTTTTGAATTGTTTAACTTTAATCCATAAGAAAGCTGCTAGATTTTTTGTTTATTTTAAAGATGGAATCAAAAATAGATAATAGAAAATGTATTATATAATTAATATAATTATATAAATATATAGCATTTAAGTATATATATAGTTGAATTCATTTTGATGTTATAATGATTTTTCATTAGGTGTATTAGTATTTATCTTGTTATTATATATATATATATATACATGCATATCTAAACACATAAAGGAGATGGGCCAATGCATCTGCCGATATGAGCCGATAGGCATCAGTGTATATGCAGGCAGATAACAGTTACAAGTACAGACATGTCAGAGATACAGTGTGTTTGAGGTGTCTATTACATGGTTTGCCCAGCAGAGAGCACTGGTGAGTTTATTATTCAGCTGTACAATATCCTGCTCAGTATGAATCACAGTGACAGTTAAAAAAAAAGTTAATAATTATTTTGTTTTATGTCAAAATATGGCTATCAACCAATATTTTATCAGATTTGTCAAACTCTCAAATGTTGAATTATACTGTATTTTATGTCTGCATGTCATATGTAATATTGGTTTTCTTGTAGAAGTCTTTAATGTGTCATGAGTCCTTAGTATTAAATGTATACCTGTGTTTATAATCTAAAGAAAAAAAAAGACTTCAGAACATAATTTGTTTATTGTAGTTATTCTGAATACATTTTCTAATAGATTCAGTAAGATTAGGAGTGCTCAGTAGTAGTGGCAGTGTACAGAGGTATATTTTATTGTCCAAGATTGCTTTAAAACAAATTTCTGACAAAAAAACACTTCAATCATAATACTGCTGCCTGCATAGTCTTAACTGTGAAAAAATATTAAAGCAAGAATCTGTAATTAAATAAAGCGGCATGGAGTACAATTTGGAAGCCAAGTGACACTACTGCCACCACTATCAAACGAGGAAGGCCTTTTTTTTTACAAGACAATCTGACATGTTATCACAGTAGGAAATCATGGTCCTGGTTTCGTTCATGCTCGTTCACTGTCACACTGTCATGACTTACTGGGACACTTGAATAGAACGGAGCCATGTTAGAAATAATAACACCTGTGCTTTTCCTGCAAGGGCAAGACCAAATGTCAGCTGTATAAAAGCTCCACTACCTCACTGTGTAAAGAAACAATCTAACCTTTCTCGAAGGATTTCAAAAATCCTTTTTTATCTTACTTATTTTAGATTTTGTCTTTGATTTCTTTTTTGCTAAAACCCCAAATGAAAGCAAAACCATTTGGATTTGTCTAAAGGCCAGACTAAAAAACTTTCAAACCTCATTTGGTTGTAGTTGTTGCTCACATACATTTTTTTCTGCAACTTTCACGTAACTGAAACCCAATTATGTCAATGATACTGTTACTAAAAAACTGCATATAAACACAACAGGATTACTACGGGGACAAAATGTAATTTTAGACTTCCCTGTACAATATGCACAATCATCTTTCAGTCTTTTTAAATCTAAAAAAAAAAAAAAAAAATTAAAAACATACACACACATATATACAAACACAAGGTGACAAAAGCAGAAAGTTACAAAATATTCACTAAGTGGTAAAAGAGGTGTCTGTAATCTATATTATAAATCATACTCCCTGATGTAAAGTAGCTCTGTGCAGCTATGTACTATATATGACTACTGTGTTACACTCATAATGTCTATTTTATATATTTTTGTCAGCTTATCAACTTTTGACAGGTCCTTCAGTCTTTTGTTCCTTTCTAGAACCAAAACTTCTACTCCTTCAGATTACTGACCATAAAAGATCCCGTTCAGCTCATTTAGTGGTTCTATCTAGATTAAACCATCTCCATGAACCTCAGCACACTGTAGCAGAATC